TTTAAAATTATAAGAGTTCCTTTTAGGTGTTATTCCCATAGTTTCATTACTTTTTAACTTTTTTATGGAAATGTGTAATATGTAGATAAATGTTTATAGCAACTCTACCTTGTGCAATTTCCTTCAGTTAAAGACGGATTTAACAAATGATCAATGTTCAAGAATATGCCCTAATTGTGCATCAAACTCAGTCGACACTGACATGTCAATAATAGCTTTCTTCCTAACGATTAATTAAACAAAAATAACTATATTCGTCTAACCTCAGCAAACACTTCAGTAAGTGTCACTTCTACCTAATACGATTTCCATGTTCAGGGCCAGATAGATCAAATCCAACATATTGACACTGTCCCAAAAGCAAAGCAAACACTTCATCTGATAGGTCAGATTTCAGCAATTAGCCGTAGAGACGGCTAAAAATAACCGGCTATATCTGAGACTAGAAGGGGTAGGGGGATAACAAGGGCTAGTTTGCGGTCTAGCTCGCAAACAAGCGAGGAAACTTTCGTGTGATGTAAATGTATCATAAATGCTGGACTACTTTATTTTTTGTTTGTATTTCCTTTATGGTGTAATGTTTACTGGATTTTTGTAAACCAGGGCAAAGCATTAATCACCTTACAAAATAAAAAATCATTTTATATTTGCAAGTAGGATTTTAAAAAGCATTTTTAAATACTTCAAGATCATAATCGTACTCTCAGTTCCACCAGTAATGTTTTTCTTGCTTAAAAGTTCATTCGTGCACGTAAATGTTTTCCTTGTCGCTAGAATATCGGTTATTAAAGCGAAAATAGAAAAACACTGAATTGTCTAAAGCACATAACAGTATTTTTTCCAAAGAACACAGAGCATTTACAGTTAAATAAAGGTACAAAATNAAGAAGCTATTGTTATGATAGATTTGGCTTCTTCTACAAATACTAGATTAAATTTCTCAAATGCAAAAGTCAATTATCCTTTATCACCACAATATTCAAAACCTGAGACTGCATTTAAATATGTACAATCGCAACAAGATTACACCGGAATAAGCCGGTGTGAGCCGGTCTGAACTGGCTTGAACCGGTTTGAACCAATGTGTGCTGGTCTCAGCCGCCCCGGGCCGGAGTCGATCAACCGTCGAAACCAGTGTTCGCTTGGATGTTGATCGATACTGCTCAGGGTTGATATGGCTAAAGATGCAAACATAGAATTTACAAACATTAACTACATTTCCAAACGCATGAACCAACATTAAAGGTACAACATTTTCATTGGTGTAAAAGCAAATATCCGCAGTTTTCACACAAGCTCTATCGGCCGGTTAGCTCGGTTTCCTGATTATAATTAAAAAACCACAAATCTTTCAAGGGAGGAAAAAAATTGGAAAGAAAAACGGCTTGATGACCTGATTGCCCATAGTTAATAGAATCCACTGAACGCAAAAGCGTTCAGAGCTTAACCGTAGCACTCTATTCGGAAAGTTTATCTCCATTAATGGACTTCTAAAATCTGATGATGAAACTAAAAACATTTCATGATAGTCTGAATATTTCTATTTTAGACTGTGCGCAATATTCTACGCGATATTAAACAAGTCTCACTCACTCATTTTCGTGAAATAAATGTTGACACTTCTGTAACATTATTGCATAGTAGCAACCCTAAACGTTCTTCAATATTCATTGTTTCAAAACCCTACCACTGGTAGGCTTGGTATTAATTGGTCCATTGGATTTTGAATTTGTGATGCCATTTTAGCTCGGCAGCTTTTGTTTGAAGCCGTGGCGTGCCGTCGTTTCAGGTCTCATGAATACAGCAAAATATTAACACAAAGTCCACAAAATATGTGGAATATTAAGATTATTGATCGCCAATAAAAATATTAAGAATAGAGTCTTGTAGAGTGCAGTAAATGTCGAGTTCTTGAATATAGTGTGTAATATGAAACGATATACCTACTCTTGAAGCAATATTCCTAAACCCAACTTGTAAAAGATCGCATAAACTGACATTCAGTGTTAGATATTTGAGGTACCTAGCATTTTGTCTGATGGCTTGAACTTCACATTTCTAGCTGTTTCAGATCCACATCCCACTAAGTACAAAATATTGTGTAATTAGCGACTTATCACAATCATAATTTTAAGTAAATTAATTAATAATTAAATATCCTTGGACGTTACACACTTACGCAATACACTGCGCCTCTAGCCCCAAATTAAGTAAAGTTTCTAATGTTATTTACTGTTCAGAAAGTTCATCTTTATTTTGGGAAATGGGTTCATAAAAATAGTAGGTAACTATTTAAGATCTTGGAAGGCTTTATGACAAAAGTTTGAGAATCTTCGCTAGTCTCCACTTAGAGCGACTCTCATTAAGCCGCAAAACGAGAAACATCTGCCGATTAAGAAAAAGCGCAATAAACAGTCGCAAAAAACCGATGAAAGCCGCGCGCCTCAATTAGTATCCGCTGACCTAAGAAAGTAAGAACTACTGTTACTGTCGCGGTAGAGTCTTTGTTTTATAATTATTGTAAGGTAGACGAGGCTTATGCCCGTTTTCACCATCAATCCCTAATTTTTAAGTGATCCCTATGGTAATACAATTATTACAGGCATTTTGTATTCATAGGGGTCACTTTAATTAGGGATTGATAGTGAAAACGGGCATTAATATCGTTAATATTGTTTTAACTTTATGGTCACAGACACAATAATCGTTAATATGTAGATAGGTAGGCAACCTAACGCAATTTCTAAGTATTCAGCATGGTTGGTTATGGAGTTCAAACCCATCGTTTTAACATTAGATACTAATTTAGTCTTAATAGATGCTATTGCCATAGTTTCATAACTTTCCTCTTTCGCTTCTTACCATGTGTGTAGATATTTTTTATCTTTTTCTATGGAAATAATTGTTATGTTAGCTTTCCGCCCGCGGCTTAGCGCGCGTGGACTACATTATCTACATATTTTACGGAACCCTATTTTTCCAAAATAAAATTTAGCCTATGTTACTCGTGGATAATGTAGCTTTCGAATGGTGAAAGAATTTTTAAAAACGGTCCAGTAGTTTTTGAGCCTATTCATTACAACCAAACAAACAAACGTTTTCCTCTTTATAATATTAGTTAGTATAGAAGTATAGACAAGGTAGAGCCCTGTACAATTATCTTCGGGTACAAATGACAAAGGATGATGGGCACAAATGTATGGAGAGTGGTACCCGCTCCAATAGCCATAACCAATACATATTTAAAAAAGCCTTTAGATGTAGGAAAATGTCTGCTATGGGGCCAGTTCTAATTCACGTTTTGAAAGCAGTAATTCCACTAAGTAAATGAAAGTATAACACAATCATCCATATATACGAGTATGCACTATCACTACAATCTATTAATAATCCTAACCAAAAAATAATTGAAAAGAAAAGGATTATACCTACGATGAACTAAGCAAGCTATCAGCCCTTTATTCGCTTTCATCATTATGATCATTTTAGCCAAAGGACGTCCAGTTGAACATAGGCCTCCCCCAATGATTTCCACAATGGCCGGTTAGTGGCGGCCTGCATCTAGCGCCTTCCCGCTACCTTTATGAGGTCTTCGGTCCATCTTATGGGTGGACTTATTGGGTTTTGTGGATTTATTCGCTTTAGCAACCCATAATAAAACTCTTAAGAAGTAATAAAACTTTAACCCCTTTATTAATAAAAGTTACACCCTAGTTAACTCTGGCTTAAATTGTCATTTGGCATTGAAATGTCATTTTAATCCATGTTTCTTCCTAGGTGTAACTTTTTTATTAATAAGGGGGTAGTAGTTCTTTAAATAAAAATATTTATTTCACAACTATCCCTATCAATAATTGTTATAGAGTTAAGGAAGGATGCTAGAGCAGTAAAAAACCCTTCATGCCTCGCATAACCTAAGTACCATACGATGGACACGTTGATACTTTGGTTACACAAAAAGTATGTTTATCTTCGAACGCAACCAGATCTGAGGCTGGTGGCCATAGTACATGTTGTTCGTCTTGGTAAGACCTTTCAAATGACACTACAAACATAACCATTGGAGCCGGGTACCATTCTGCAAAAAAGTATGGTTATCTTCGAACACAACCAGATCTGAGGCTGGTGGTCATAGTAAAAGTTGTTCATCTTGGTAAGACCTTTCAAACGATACTAGACACATATCTATTGGAGCCGGTACCATTTTGCCCATTGTCCTTTGACAATTTGATAAATATAATGTTCAAGAATAATAATATGCTCTAATCTCAAACGACTCCACAGAAATGTATTTTTTTCCCCTAACAATTACATAATTAAATAAAAATATAACTATCTTCATCTAATCTCAGCAAACACTTCACTAAGTGTCACTTCTACCTAATACGATTTCGATGTCCTTGACCAGATAGATCAGATCCTACATATTGACACTGTCAAGTAACCAAAGCAAACACTTCATCAGATAGGTCAGATTTCAGCAATTAGCCGTAGAGACGGCTAAAAATAACCGGCTATATCTGAGACTAGAAGGGGGTAGGGGGATAACAAGTGCTAGTTTGCGGTCTAGCTCGCAAACAAGCGAGGAAAGTTTCGTATGGTGTAAATGTATCATAGTTGGTGGACTACTTTATTTTTTGTTTATATTTCCTTTATGGTGTAACGTTTACCGGATTTTCGTAAACCAGGGCAAAGCATTAATCACCTTATAAAATTCATAAAATTTTTGCAAGTAGGCTTTTAAAAAGCATTTTTAAATTCAAGATCATAATCGTACTCTCAGTTCAACCAGTAATGTTTTTTGTGCTTAAAAGTTTATTCGTGCACGTAAATGTTTTCCTTGTCGCTAGAATATCGGTTATTAAAGCGAAAATAGAAAAACACTGAATTTTCTAAAGCACATAACAGTTTTTCCAAAGAACACACAGTATTTACAGTCAAATAGAGATACAAAATNTACAAAATAGAGCTAAAATAAAGGCTTAAAATGTAAAGCTCACCTGAGTGATACTCCAGTAGCGGTCCAGCGATATGAGGCACAGGTTCATAATAGACGCGGTGCACAGCAGCACGTCCATCGCCGAGTGTATCTCACACCACCAGAACCCAAAAATCCAGTACCCCATCAGCTCGTTCGCCAAAGAGAATGGCATTATCACCAGCCCTAGGAAAAAGTCCGACACCGCTAACGAGGCAATGAACCAATTCTGTATATTCTTCAACGCTTTCTCTGTCACAATCGCAATTATCACCAACATATTCCCAACTACCACCATTATCATTAACACTGTCACCACCACTGACGCTATTATTATGTGAGCGGGCGAATAACCACTCGGATACCAGGTTTTTAACACAACCGGTATCGTGGTATCGTTGGACACTGACGTCGTGTTCGCATCTGACGCGTTTGTCATCTGCAACGCCAAGAACTCCTCTTGGCTTATGAACGTTGGCACTAAGAATGTGGAATTCCAACCCAGTGTCCCGTTGAAATGCGTGCTCATCGTCGTCTTGACTAGTGTTGTGTTCGGCACCATCTTGGTATCGGCCTCGGTACCGGTATCCTTAACCCGTTTCGACGCCAGATTTGTAAAATTCAACTAACTACCCACGTTTATTGTTTTGCATTAATTTTATATTTTATAAAAAACTCGGAATTGAAGTTTGGCCCCGTAATAAGTACGAAAACGTTTGCGGTTTAGAAATAATTAAAAATCGTATTGCCTATAGGAACGGAATAACTCGCGTAGTTTAATTTAAGTTTAAAACTATTTTTATAAATTACAACAGATTTTATACAATTAATTAATACCCGTTTTCCCGAACTATATGCAAAGACTATATCCAAGCACAGATGTCGATCGAAGAACCTTAGTATTTGTTTACAAATCTAACGCTATCAATATCAAACTTACGTTAAAATCTGGAATATATACAAACGTATTATTGTATAAATAAAAAACGCGTGCGGTATACGAAGGCCTCTTATCTAGTATTGCTTTTGAACGGCGCGAAATGATACCGAAACTACACTACCGAATACCTAAAAAATAAACGCGCAAAAAAAGGATACCTTAAAACGACCACGACTTAATGCGACACACAAAAAAGCGATCCTATCACTAGCGAAGCTGTGACTATATGGTACCGGTACCGATTACTTTATACAGCCACTAAATCGGTATCGTGACGTCATCGTGCAGTTTTCCCCTTTCTCCTGTCCCAGTATCTGTCAGTTTTGGCGAACATGTTGTGTGGTGGTTCCATCACATGGTGCGCGTTACGCCTTCATGCTGCCGTACTGTCCTTGTGCTTCTTAACATGAATCCATCTGTGTAACGTGTAATCAAATGTAATCAGTTGTCGCGTGCGGCGCCTGGTGCTCTTAGACTGTAATTATTTTGTATCGGCGGTGACGTCATGTACCTGTAACAAGAAAATGACATACATTAGCGCCATTAAGTCGTTGCACGCGTGTTTTGTGGTAACAAAGTAATTTCTTACTTTATTCGTAAACAGGGAAGTGACGTTGATGGGTTTATTTTGATAAATTACTACCTATAGTAAAGTAAGCAGTTACCTATCTTTACGATCAATTACTTCTTAAAATATTTTTTAATCTAAAAATGTAGGTAGTTATGCTTTATCTATTGAAACACGCATTACATTTTTAATTTTCCTCTTGCGAAAATACCAAAGCTCCCAATCAAGAAGTATTTTTTTCCTGTATGCATGTAATTCCAAAATTCAAATCAATTAAAATTCCAAAAGTCGTCACATATTCCAGCTAGCATTTCCAAATTGTAAAATAAAAGAATTCACATTCACAATCCCACACACTTCAGGATAAAAAATATCAATAGTCAATAAACTCGCGATCCTTCAGCGAATGTAAAACTGCATCAGAAAAACCACATACATATTTATAGCACGTTACCGTTACCGTAGGCAGCTAAATAAAAGCCTACAAGTTTAAATTCCACTTTTTTGGGTGAAAGCGTATTTTGGAAAAGCTAGTCTTCACTTTTGCAAGCTCTGAAAATGTTTTGCTGCGTACGGCTTTTGCGGGTCGAGTTGCAAACGGATGCAAATTGATGTTTAAATATTTAATTTATGATGCACGTCAGATAGGAATTGAAAACTTGTCTTTACGTTTTAAAATTTTAGTTGTGGTATTTATTATCTTATTTTTAAAATACCATTTAGTTTTATTTAAACATCCATAGTTTCACATGGTGTTTTGGAACGTGCCTATCAATTCAAAAATATTTTTGGAAACTAAAGTCAAAACACACGTTTAAAAAATCCAGCTTCCTATTTTTAGTAACTAAAATATAGTACAGAAAAATCAGATTATAATAATATTTTTTCTAACAAAATCTAATTAAATTAACTGTAGGCTTTTAAATTGCTCAAGAAAGCTGAAAATCTCATTAATCGTAGTTTTGGCTTTATAAGATTAAAGGCCCTATCCTAAAAGTTTCTTCGTAAAATTATTAAAAATTCATAATCCCCTAAAAACCTTCCGGTTCAGATTCGCTACAAAATTCAAATTTGACCAATTTTTATTCGGTAAAAAAATTTCGATAACTCCTAATGATTCGGACAGCGATTCGAGCAACTTTCCTAATTAAATATTCGGATTGGGGATCAAGTAATCCGGGATAGTGTTGTTCGAGGGTCGATAGTTTTAGTCATAGCAAAGATTTGACACCAATCAAAATCAACTGTACCGTGTACCAAGCTAAGCACTGTGGCACTTTTAAAGTGAAAAAAGTTATTTTCGCAACAAAAGTATCTGGTTTCCTTTCGTTTGTCTTCGCGGGTTTACTTATAATTTTTAAAAAATATAAAAAAAAACAGTTGTTTCTTATTTACCTACCGGAATCATTTATAATCAATTCATAAAAATTATGACAGTAGTAGATTAGAGATGTCCAATACCCAATAGATTTTTCATTATTGTCAATTTAACGTGTGTCACTTAAACTATTGAAAAAATACTTCAAAGGAGAAGTTGCATTTTCCCTTACTATCTACTATCGACAAACCATCGATACCGCCAATCAACTGGCAGCACTAAGCCTTACTAATGAGAGCTCCGAGTTAGAAATAAAGAAAGTAATGAACGAATGCCCCAAGCACGATTAATAGGCGCCCATACAACTTGCTTCCTTGCTATGGCGCACTTTTGTAGATAACAAATGTTTTTAAGCTTAAGAATTGGAACTTGGAGAGAAACTTTATTTTTAACAGATTACAAACGGTCTCTTTGAAACATTTTTTTGTGTGGAAATGCTGAAAAACTCGCAGTAACGTTATGACCAAGGAAGACTTGCGAATTGTTGAGTGATATTTTTGGTATAGGAATGCATAAATTAATTTTTATACGAAAAAAATTGGTAAATATTCTACAGTTTACACATTATTTTTTTTATTTTTATAAAGATTATTAGTAATCAATGTATCATAAAATAGACAACCTCAATAAATGTAATAAGTTTAGGTTCTTTCCCACGAAGACATCATGTTAAAAAAAAAGTCTGCAAAAAACGGGATACTGTCGTGTCCCGTGAAAAACACACAAGTCCAGTTTTGCAGGATCCAGAAATGTAGGGTCCCCCAAAAATGAATAGTCGTGGGAAAGGACCGTTATACTAAAAGCATAAAAGTTCAAAATCCAAGTACCTAGAAGCAGTGCAGTCGTTCGTGCCAATTGTAGCGCTACTGCTAATAAAATAATTTGCATACACATAAAGATTGACTTTATAACCCAAAACAACAACCACTAAACAGCTCATTCACCAAATAAACAAAATAAAACCGCCAAACAACTGTTAACCCTTCACGAGTGAGTTGTAAACACTGCGATTAAATTACTAAAGTTTCCGCTATCGGTTGGTGTAAAAACGGTTATAATAATCACAAGCCTCCACAGGTTAACCGGTAAATGCGGTGTAAATCACTAACGCGAATGCCGGTGATAAAGGAAGGTGTGCTGCGTAGCTCAAGCAGAACAGTTTTGCATAATTTCAACTACTATTGACGTTAATAAGGAAAAGAAATAAATGATCAAGAAAAACGATGGAGCTCCATGAAACAGAGTGGAAAAATTATCCACAAAAATAAAAATCCATCAGGACATTTCCTCACTTAACACAATAAGTGAATTCCTAATCGATATTTGGAGCGCCGTATTTTATTGATATTACCATGAAGTCTCTAAATAATAAAATATGTCTATAAATTTATTTATTACAGTAATACCTACCTACAGTTATCGATTACTTACACTAGTTTGTGTTAAGAATTTTGAAAAAAATTGCTCGCTGGTTAAATGTCACNGAACATTAATTTTAAAGACAACCCGTTGCAGCAAGCTCTCAAACCGAACTAAACTTTACAGTGGGGTCTCCGGCGCTCCCATAGTTTAGAAACGCTGACTCGGCGCGACAGCGGCGGGTCAGCCTTATTCTATACAAAGACCGGGTATAACAGAACGCAACCAGATCTGAGGCTGGTGGCCATAGTAAATGTTGTTCGACTTGCTAAGACCTTTCAAATGACATTACAAACATAACTATTGGAGCCGGGTACCATTCTGCAAAAAAGTGTGTATATCTTCGTACACAACCAGATCTGAGGCTGGTGGCCATAGTAAAAGTTGTTCATCTTGGTAAGACCTTTCAAACGATACTAGACACATATCTATTGGAGCCGGGTACCATTTTGCCCATTGTCCTTTATTTATTACAGTAATACCTACCTACAGTTATCGATTACTTACACTAGTTTGTGTTAAGAATTTTGAAAAAAATTGCTGGCTGGTTAAATGTCACTGTAAAACCGGTTCGTCGTTGACTAATTAATTTTCCGACTCCACCGCACGCCACGTCAATACATCGGGGAAATTTTTACCGGTAATTTACCGGTAAGAGTTACCGGTAAATTAACGGTATGCGGTCGTAAATTTCCACGTATTTTCGTTCAAAAAGCGGCGGGGTTAACAACGGAATCGCGGTATGTTAACGTTACAAAGTTAATAAACGACGAAAGTGTATAATTTTTTATTGAAATAAGTATTTCATTGTGAGTACGGTAATATTTACGTTTTACACAGCAGACATAAATCGCTTTTCGATTAAATTTTTATTACAAAACATGCCGTTCCAAAAGGGTAACATAAAATAAATGTTACGCAGTATTTAGATTAGAGTAGGTACTGGCTAAATGTTAATAATTATCAAAGTGTCTATTTTCTTTCGAACATGTGATGTTTGCCTTCAAGTACCATCAAATCGATACACAATACAAATCAATTGTTACCACGGTCTCATCAAAGGAGAGGTTGTCCATTTATCATCAAAACTTCCCAAAATTTGACTATTCCCGAGAAGTGTTGATTAGCGACCGTAGTGCAAACACTGGCTAATTCTGCCTCTGCCCAGCATTGCATTGAACGCCACATAGATTAGCTCAATTGAAGGCAAACACGCGGTTTGCCGCGTCAACTGGGCGCATTTCGACAGTTGCTAAACTTAATTACTATTCGGTACCGGGCAATGGCCATTGGAGCAAAAAAGTTCTCAAGTGGCGACCACGAACCGGAAAACGTAGTAGGCAGGCCTCCCTCTAGATGGATCTAGGATCTGGAGATGGTTGCGTTAAGAACCTATCCCCTAGCGGGCAATCCTTAGGAGGACTTTGTCCAGTACTTAGTGAACGTCAGGTCATAACTATAAGCCTAAAGCTCTAGGCTTCTAGTTCTTTAGATAACAAACAGTCAAGCAATTCAGTATGCTGTACTGTATACAGGGTGGAATTTTGTAATGCCACCTGGAGGGAAAGTACTCTTAATACTGTAGATAGACAATTTTACTCAAAAGAAACATTCCTTTATTTTTTTAAAGAAATAAAACTGCATTCAAATGTTTTCAAAAATTTGCTTGCCACATACCCAGGAATCGAACCAACTAAAATCTGTTAAAAATTACACTCTGTATTTTTATTGCATCGATCGTTAGGGTGAAGTATAAGGTTGAAATCTCTCTAACAAACTTGATTAATCAAGTGAAAGGAAAACCATAAAATCTTCGTTCGTTCGTTCGTTTCAGCCGAAAGACGTCCACTGCTGGACAAAGGCCTCCCCCAAGGATTTCCATAAAATCTTACATTATTTTAATTATTTACAGAAAATTGTATGGCATGGTAGAGAAATTTCAAAAAAAATTCTCAAATCTTTGAATGCAGTTCTATTTCTTTTCAAAAATAAAGGAATGTTTTCTTTGAGTAGAATTTTCTATCTACATTATTAAGAGTAGGTACTTTTCCTCCAAGTGGCATTACAAAATTCCACCCTGTATAAAAATATCCTTTCTCAAAATCTCTGAACAGTTAAGA